CTCTCACTCCACCTCCGACAACCTGTCACCCTCCCCTTCCTCCTCTTCCTCCACCACCGACATCCCCGTCGTCATTCCCTTCCTCCTCTTGTTCCACCTCCGACAGTCCTATCACCCCTACTTCCTCCTCTTCCTCCATCTCCGAACAGCCCCGCCGACTCCCCTTCCCTCCTCTTCCTCCACCGCCATTCTTCAATCGCTCACCCCCTCTTTTACTCAAATCGAAAACAAAGCAGAAAAGGCAAATTGGATCTGACCTGTTTTGATCAGGCCCAAATCCGGTTCAGCTGGATCTGATTTTCGGCTCAGATCCAACCCGCAATGGCAACAGATCCGTTAATGCTTCACACTTGATTCAAAGCCTGTTCAGACCCGTTTGGAATCCAATTCGAGTCTGATTCGAACCCCTCTAATCCTATTCGAACCCCGACTCCGCGGCCCATTGGTGCATGGTCGATCCTGTAGTCGAAGACGTCTAATTCGTGTACAACCTAGAGACCGACGTGGTAGATCTGCAACTCTCTCAGTAGTTTGACTACCAGCCTTTCGACACCCCAGCAGAGTACATCGATCGCGTGACCCCTCAGATCGTTGATAGCGTGGAGAGCCGTCTAGGAATCAATTCGTGGCACCGACACTTTCACCCAGACGCACCTCTTCACCCCAGCTACATAGCTCTCGGAGGAGATCTCCCTCCCCTCATATTCGACGTCATCACACCACCTCCAGAGGTCCCTCACATCGAGCCTATTCAGATCGGTGAAGGTTTCATTTTCTCTCGACCCGGTACTTTAGGAACTGCCATCGTGTGCATGTTATTATCGATTATAATATCAACTGCTATTGTGTTGTGTTCTGCTTGATTAGTGAGAGTGAATCTGTTGCCTCGTATATCTGTTGATTTAAATATTTCAAGTCGAACTTTTATTACAAGAACAAATTATTACATTTCTTTTCTAAAAAATTTACAAGATCGTAAGCTTAGTAAATTGCACTTTTGTTTAAAACCATCTAGAGCTCCACTTATCGATCGCTGATTTGGTAAAGCATTGATGTCGCTATTCTTCTTACCTGCATACGCATTGTTTCACATCAATTACTCATGAGAAATAGGTTGTGGGACCCATTTTCATGTTTTCAAGCTTATTTCATGACTTTTTGGAAGGAAATGAGTTTCCTTAAATTTGGGACCCATGGCACTATTATCTTATTTGTTGGTGGATCTCACATACACATCTCTTTTTTTCCTCTCTCAACCAAACACAAGAAAAGGAAATCAAATACCTTCACATGGGTGTGTCGGGTGTTTTGATTACATTTTCTTAGTTTCTCAGCCAACCAAACATACCCTGAGTGAATCAATGCGATAAATATTCAAAAAATTCAAAAACATTGTAAATAATATGCAAATATCAATAAACAGCAACAAGACAAATTAATCACAGCCAACTTTTCAAAGACACAAATCTAATAAGTCATAAACCATCTAAATGAAGTAACAAGTAACAAATATTGAATAGTAATATTAATTAGTAACTACTAATACAAATAATTAAGCAACAGACTTTGACTTTGAAGTTCAAATTGTGGCATGTCGTCAAAATAATATAGATAATAAAGTAAATTTCAACAAAAAAAAGCAAAAAATCGACAATGAAAAAAGAAACACAAAAATTCAATAACAAAAATAAACTTTACTTTATCGGACACCTTTCACACCCTCAAAATTTTGAAATAGAGACAAAACACCTCGCGCCTTATATCACATGTCTTAGGTGAGCACCTGAGGCGCCAAAGCAATGTCACGATGTGCCAAGGCAAGCTCTTGATGCGCCAAAAGGTGACCGCCTTAGTAAGCTTCATCGCCTAGCAATACACGATGTGCTAAGTTACAAAATCGACTTGCCTGAGCGCCTAAGGTGCTAAGGCGCATCGCCTTTAAAGCATTGGCTAGAATTTTGACCAATATCATTATCTAAATGATTAAGAACTCATTTTGTGACGCCTAAAGCTTGAATGCAAATGCCAACCACCATTTAGCACAGTGACTTGCTTGTTTCACCGGGTTAAAAAATTTCCACTCATCATACTTTCTTCCTTTGACAATGAACTTACCCATGCAAATATATGAAGCATTGTTTTATCACTGATATAGCTGATATACGATCGATAAATCCTTTTATAAGGTTTACCACAAAACGATATGGTCTCAATATCATTTACTGATTTTTGGTAATTTTGGGTGAGATATCTATGACCTGACCGATATATAACTGATATTTAAGCCAATGTGTCCTTTTATATGGCTTGTCACAAAATATTATAGTTTTAAAAAAAATTCTTTAATGTTTTTCAGCAAAAATTCCAACACTACGAAATCATTAGCAAATAGGCTATTTTCTTTAACCAAGTTACAATAATTTGTTGGGTACAATCATACCAGCACTAATGCACTAGATCCTATCAGAAACTCTGCATTTAAGCGCGCTTTCTACAATTTGTTAGTCACCCTGAATATATATTATCTATATGTTGAATGCTTAGATTTTATAAAATATGTTTAGATCACATTTTAGGGGACTATATTATATACGCAGATAATCCAATATAGCACTCCGATATTTACTACATATCCCTAATATCCGCAATCCGTTATAGATTTTAACCATCCGATATTTCCCCGACATCTAATATATAAAACCTTGGTATGAACGAAATTGCAAGACTCTCAAAAACAACCTCATCTTCTACTAATAAAAATTAAAAGGCAGAAAATTACACCATGCATAACCAGTTACCCCGAGTATAGCCACTGTCTTTTGACGCAAGGACAAATTTCTAAAATTTAACATCTTAGGTTAATCACAGCTGACTTGGAGGTTTGAGCAAATAACATTCCACTACCACATTAGAAAGCATAGTAGATCCTGTTTAAGATTTTTCATTAACTACCAGAAGAGATAAGTCATTCTTATACACCTGAAACATTGGTTGCACTTGCTACAGTATAACCTGCTAGTCTGCATCAAAAATAAGTCCATTCTTTCTTTCTTTTTTCTATTATGGACGGTTGCCAGAATGCCGGTCACTAAACAAATAAACAAATGGTATCTATTAGTTTCAAAGATGAACTAGTCCAAGATGGATACCGATCCAAAACTTGAGAGGGGATTGCTCCTTTCAATCTCTCAAAATAAGATATTGCGACCATGGAATTTAGGTTTCAGAGAACGGAAATGCCCATAGCTCTCTTTGTTTGGACGGAATCTCCATTAGAAAAATGCATAACAATGACGGGCTATGTCTGCTCTCAGATTTTATGGGTTCTTTCGACGTCAGACGGTCAGAGTGTATAGTTAGTAACTATTTCCTGCCAGTACCAATGTAGTTGCAAATAGCTACTCCTCCCATCCATTTAAATCACATTAGCAACAATTGTAGGGTAACCCAAATTCGTCTACCTGAACAACCAAAATCTCTTAATCAGTAATCATAATTCTTCATCGACTTGTCCTAATTATTGAACGGATTTAGTTTTAAGAAGTAACGTTCTAAATTACTAATGCCCCAAGGTTTCACCCTATTCAAGTTTGATGACATAGAGTTCTATTTTGAGAATTTAACACCCTAAAGTTTCAAGTTGACGATTATTTGACAATTTGATAGCCGAAAACCCGAACTTCGTTCCTCACTTTCCCCAAACTCAAAAAACTGATATTTGGTAAGAAAATCATTTCTCATTCACTTTTCTATGCCAATATTCTTGAACAAAATTAACATGAATCCTTTTTTCACTATCAAACTACCAAAATTGAACTTCAGGTGTCAAAGTAAGAAAAGAGTTAACCTTTGGGGTATTCAAGTGCAAATAATACCTGCCACATGTTGCTAGGGTTCGTATCATTGGATTCTTCCAATGTTTCGATCTTTAGAGGCTCATGCTGAGCCCAGCCTCGATTCCGGCGAGGAAAAGTGACAATCGCCGTATGATTTCCAGTGTTATCGCCGCCTCCCTCTTCTCCGGTCCCGGTGAACGCTGCCCCCTCTGCCGACGCCATAGAAGCCCTCTGCTTTGATTACTTGGAGAGCAGGGCAAGCTTCTTATCCCGCTCCGCTGATAGATACTCGGGTTCTTTTTTACATATCAGTCCTTCACAGTTGAAGTATTGCGAAAAGGATGCACCAAAATTTAGGGTTACCTTAACGAAACTCCCTGAACTTTGAGTTGTTTTGCCTTTTGGAATGTCTACAGAACTCTCGTGGACTTAAAACTTTTCTTATCAGCCCCTTGTAATTAGCAAAATATCATTGAGAGAAAAATCTCAAACTTAGTCATTTGCTATTCACATGCGACATACATCCCTCCTCCTAATTGACCATTTATTTCTCGTAAGAAAGTGTTGGTTATTTGCTTGCTAATTAAAAGTAGAGGTCGGCTGAGAAAAGTTTAAAGTTTACAAATTTTTAAGAGACACCACAAAGGTCAGTGGTTTATTGTCAATAACCTCTAGGGCCTATGTGCAAGAATTTCAAAGCTCAATGAGTTCTGTGAAATTAACCCTTATTATTATTATTATTATTATTATTATTATTAATCTTTTTTTGTTAACTCAACCCCGAGTAGAACACGGATCATGGGATCCATATTAGAACCTCCCAACACTCTGAATCGCCCACAATGAGCAAATTAACCCTAATTATAAGAAGCAAGAAAAAGTCCCTCTAAACTTGTTGGTCAATCTAATAAATCTACCTCTTTACTATTTAAAGAGAATCTTTTTTAGGACTGTTTGTTTCGCTCAAATTTGAGCTGAAAGTGTCGTAAAGGGGCTGTTTTGAAAACTGACGACGAAAAAACTGTCAGTTTTCTTCATTTACGGTTGTTTGGTTCGTTTTGAGCGGCGAATGAAAATGGGGCTGAAAGTGGCGATTTGCTGAAAGATCATTTCCGTTCCAAAAACCCCGATTTTGGTGGAAAGTGATCAAATCTCGTTCCCCCCCCTCCCCTCCCCTTTCACCCTAGGTTTCTGATCACCGCGCCGTTCCTTCCCTCCATCTTCTCCCGCCACCTGCTCTTCGCACGGCTGTTTGCTCCTTCAGCTCTCGATCGCTGTTCTTGAGGTTTTGGCCTGACGATTTGGCCTGACGATTCAGCTCTCGATCGCTGTTCTTGAGGTTTTGGCCTGACGATTTGGCCTGACGATTCAGCTCTCGATCGCCTGGTTGATTTGGGGATTTGGCCTGACGATCGCTGTTCTTGAGAAAATTGGGCGCTACTCAGGTAAAAAACCCTAAACCCAAGTATATTTTTGAGCTAGGGTTTTAGTTCAGGATCTTTGCTCGGGTTCGGAGATCATATCAGGTTTAAGATCAATAAGATCATTACCATATCTCTGTCATGTAAAGAAAAGGGGAAAAGAAGAACAGGGACTCACACTTACTTATTGATTTCGTTAAGAAAAGGAAAAAATGATACCTGACATACTTTGAAGGGTGTGGGAAATTAAGTTTTGCAAAGGAACATCTACCATGTTGATTTGTGAATTATGTGATGGATAGATAGACCTGATCATTTGTTTGATTTTAAGCTAAAATTCTACGGGAAAAGGGAATTAGTCATTTTGACCCCCACTTCCCACCCCAAAAACAAAAAGAAAAAGGACCTTTACATTTTGAGCCCAAATTCAAGCTATGCCTGGCTAAATATAATACCAGAAATAACATATTTCAAATTGAACTACATTTTGTCTGCATTAGTTTCCAAATATATTTTTAAACCCAAGTCTAATAGCTTTGTCTTTTCATTTTGCAAGTAGGACCTTAGCAATATAATTAGACAACCATCTTCATTTACTGTTACTATCTGCTTTAATATGACGTTTGTATTTTAGATGGATGGTGATCTCGATGAAGAAACCGTAGTTAATATGTGTTCGGGTGCTGTACTATCTGTCTTGGTTATGGTTATGGTATTCATGAGGAGAATGCAAAGTAGACGTAGATCTATACATGCAGGTCCTAGTGAAGAGAAAATAATACAATATCAAAATAGAAAACAACACCTGGATCGCATATATAATGGATTTAGTGATAGTTGTGTCAACTATGTTAGAATGTGAAGTGGTGCTTTTATGAAGCTTGCAGAGATATTGAGGATCAATGATTTATTACGAGACTCAAGACATGTTACAATGGAGGAGCAACTTGCTATGACTTTGAATATTTTGGGGCATAAAACTAAAAATCGAAGTATTAGGTCACATTTCATTAGATCTGGCGAGACTGTGAGTAGGTATTTCAACATAAAGGAGTAAATGAGGTAAAACAATTCACCTCATCTATGCGCATGGTGAGTATGCATTGGACCGAGAAGTTGGCACAAGCTATATTTGCACATGATGAATTTGACATAGAACTTCTTGATAAGTTTTATCAACAATTGCATGAGAATGAATCACAAGCTAGGTTGTTTATGGGGAGGCCAACTATTATGCAAAAGAAGGCGTTGACTGAGTTCATGAAGAGTCAACCTCTTGATTAGAATGTTGGCCTTTGCTCGGATTACGATGCTTTTGGGATATTTTTGTGAAACTAGCTAATTGTAACAATGCTAGTATAATTATATTTGTATGTAAATGAGCGTAATTATTTTTGGATGTTCATGTTGCTAGATGATTGCTCATCATTTTGCAAACACAACTAGCTAGATGAGTGCTCATCATTTTGCAAACACAACTATGGTACATGTATTAAACTTACATTAGTACAAAACTAATGCTACTACCTCTATTTTCATGCATTTCAGTCGTGGCTTTACAAGTTAAATTATTAACTTGGTATGCTAATGCAAACTTGTTTGACAGGTTTACAAGTGGGGTTCTATAATGATTTCCCCTCGCTGAGTTAGCGGATAAGAGGTATGCATTTTATGTGTTATGATGATGGGCTTCATTGTTGACGATATGCAGCTAAAGTTTATACTAGTAATCAATTGGCGAGGCAGTATATGCAGCCAACATTGCTATTATAAACTTCATGGCGAGGCATATAATGAAGAAAAGAGCCTTTTCTGAGCACATTTTCTATACTTTCTTATGAGCTTTGGTTTGCTTTCCATCTTGGCTTGTTTGGCCCTTTTGAGCTCAGTTTTTGTGCAGCTTCCGTGGTTGTGTTGGCCTGTGGTTGTTTGACAGGTTTACAAGTGGGGTTCCATGTTGGTTGTTTGGTTTGTTGCTAATGAAGATGATATTAATATTGGCGAGTCTGAATTTGTGTTCCACTTGGCCTTGGTTTGCTGTTTCCATGTTTCAGATTCATGTCCAGTTGAACTAGCTTTGTTGTTTCCATGTTGGTTGTGTTGGTTTGCTGTTTCCATGCTGGCCTTGGTTGGCTTTTGGTGAGTCTGAATTTGTTCTCTCGGCCTTGGTTTCATCTCTTGGTTGTGTTGGTTTGTTGTTTCCTTGTTGGTTGTGTTGGTTTGCTGTTTCCATGCTGGCCTTGGTTGGCTTTTGGTGAGTCTGAATTTGTTCTCTCGGCCTTGGTTTCATCTCTTGGTTGTGTTGGTTTGTTGTTTCCATGTTGATGATTCATGTTGCAGGTCTGAATTTGTTGTGTTGGTTTGTTGATTCATGTTGATGATTCATGTCCAGGTGTGTTGGTTTGTTGTTTCCATGTTGGTTGTGTTGGTTTGCTGTTTCCATGTTGGCCTTGGTTGGCTTTTGGTGAGTCTGACAGTGTTCTCTCGGCCTTGGTTTCATGTCTTGCTTGTGTTGGTTTGCTGTTTCCATGTTGGTTGTTTGGTTTGTTGTTTCCATGTTGATGATCCAAGTTAGAAGCTGGCCTTTGGTTTCAGTTGCTTGGTCTATGGAGCTAAATTGTTGTGTTGGCTTTTGCTGAGTCTGAATTTGTGTTCCACTTGGCCTTGGTTTCAGCTCTTTGTTGTGTTGGTTCGAAGGATCCATATTTGTGATTAATGTGATGGTTTCAACTTGCTCTCAGCCTTGGTTTCAGCTCTTGGTTGGCCTTTGGTTGGTATGCATATTTTGTGTTATGATGATGTGCTATTTTTAAGATATGCAGTCAAAAGTTTATAGCAACAATATATTGGCGGGGTAATATATTGCAGCCAACATTGCTTTATAAACTTTATGGCAAGGCAGATAATGAAATAATGGCCTTTTCTGAGCACAACTATTATGTTGGGTGGTAATCTTACCATGGTGACCACAAGCAAGTTTTCTTAATTTTTTAGTTTGAACCAAACACCAGAAAATGATGTAAAGTACTTTCACTACATATTTTCTTCTTTTTTCAAGTTGAACCAAACAATAGAAAATGATGTAAAGTACTTTCACTACATATTTTTGGGCGAAACAAACGCAAAAAACATTTTTCAGGAAAGTGAAGGAAACACAAGAAAGTGAAGGAAAATCATCTATAGAAAGTGAAGGAAAGTAACCAAACAGCCCCTAAGCATCTATCAGAAACAAATCTTAAAATATTTTCTTAAAAATGCCCTAAAAACACATACATGCATCCTTAAATCATATACATGCATGCATAAATCATAAATAAAAATACATACATACTCACTTTTTCATAACCTCCTCATTCATTATACATCCATTCATGCATACATGAATACACATACTCAATTTTTTATAACCTCATCATTGATTACCAAGAATCTTTTACTAAGGTATACATTAAAGCAAAACCAAAAAACTAAAAAAATTCACCAGAGGATGCCACCTCATCCATCTCTATCTCAAAATTTTTTGACACGTGTCATATCATCTAATCCATCCATTTAAATTACTATTATATCTCAAACGATATGTGTGTGTGTGTGTGTGACGCCTTCACACATGGCTGTAGTCCAAGATGAACCCAGAGATGTCAAACCTGCCATGCACTCACACTGTACAACAACAAGTTTTACCAATCACAGCAATATCCTCTAGTGGAATCAAAATAAAGTGCAGGTACAAAACAGGCAAAAGAAATGAAATAACTACAATAGACATGATATAGAAAGACGTATCTCATAAAAAAATCATGTCTCAATGAACAACCTAGAATACATTTGATATCCAAAATGAATAAATATGCCTCGACAAGAAACAACTGAAAATCGTATTAAGGTACACTGCCTTTATACTATGAAATAAACTCTAAGGTCTGAACAAAAATAT